AGGGGCGCGGCGCTGTTGCAGGGTAACATGTGTCACCCGGCGAGGGTGTTGGCTGCGGGGGGCGGGTGGGCCAGACGACGCGCAGGCACTGCTGGCACGGGCACCCCAGGCGGGGCAGTTTTTCCCCTCGTGCTGTAGACAGCATATACTCGAACTAGACATCTTGATGGGGTAGAGTGAAAAAGAAGAATACCCTGGATACCCTGGATACCCTGGACCCATCTCGGACGGATGCCGGATGGATGGAATGGGCCCAGCACAGCGCAGCCGCCACCCGCGGCCCCGCCCTCACCAGCGCGACGCACACCACGCCAGCGCCAGCTGCGCCAGAGTCAGCCCCGCGCCCTTCGCCACCGCCGCATACTCTGCGGCCGCGGCCATGGAGGCGGCGGAGTGGTAGCGCGGCTGGAAGCCCGGGAACTGCAGCGGGGGCAGGAAAATAGAGTGTGTGTGTGTGTGTGTGTGTGTGAACGGTTCAGCGCAAGCTGCGCAGAGAGGCAGCGAGGACACGAGGAGCGGCGCTGGGGTGCTCGGCAGCGGCGCCAGCGGTGGGTGGGACTCGCCTTGACGTGCCGTGAGTTGGGCCCCGGCCCGCTGCCGCCCGCAAAGTACTTGTCTGTGAGGGTCCCCCCCGCCAGGGGGCCGTATGGCAGCAGGCCGATGTTGTGGTGGTGGGGAGCGCACGCCTCCGCCAGCTGCGACTCGAAACGGCGGTCCAGCAGGCTGCGCGGGGCGAGGGAGAGGGGCGGGCGGCGGCGGCAGCAGCATGAGGACGCCCGGGCCGTGAGCATCCGGCACCTGCACAGCGCCGGTACCGGAAGGGGCTGCCCTGCATGCACATGCCGCCACCGCGGCTACCGACAGACAGACACCCACAGATGAGCACGCTGGCAGGTACATAAACGTGGCGCCGTAGGTGCTTGATACACACCCGGCACGTGCGTACATGCACACTGCCTTGCCCACCTGAAGTCGTTCTGTATGGAGATGGGGGGCGGCACCCCCAGCCGCGTCGCCGCCTCGCACATGCGGCACACGCCGTAGGCGGTCTCGTTGGAGAGGCCCCAGTGGCGCACCTGTGTGTGGGGGTTGTGGGGGGTTGGTGGCGGAGCGGGTGCGAGGGGGTGGGCTGCTGGCGACGGCGGTGCGCTGGCTGTGTTTTTGTGTTGTGGTGCTGAGGGGTTGAAGTGTGTGGTGTGGCCCGATACAGGCCATGCAGGCACGAGGCACCCCCGCCCACCCTGCCCCGCCTGCCCTTGCCAGCCCAGCCCCAGCGCCGGCGCTGCAGCGCCACCCCACCTTGCCCTCCTGGATCAGCTTCCCCACGGCCGCCACCTGCTCCTCGAACGGTACCGGGTCGTACCGCTGGGATGCGTGGTACTGGTTCTTGCCCCACAGCGGGACGTAGCGGTCGGGCCTGCGGGCGGCACAGGCCAGGGTAGGGGCAGGAGCATGGGCAGAGCAGGGCAGGGCATCACGGGTTGGGGAACGGGGCACGGGGAGCGGGGCAGGACCGCGCAAGAGCAGGGACAGGGAAGCTGCTGCCCCCATAGCGGCAGCCCGTTCCGGTGGCCGCTTCGAAAACCCACGCCCAGCCCAGCCCAGCCCAGCCACCCACCAGTGCAGCTGCAGGAGGTCCACATAGTGCGTCTGCAGGCGGCGCAGCGACCCCTCCACAGCGGCAACAATCTGGGCGGGCTCCAGGCGCGGCGCGGGGGCGTCGGCCACATCCGCGGCCGGCGAAGTGCGGTTGGCGGGCACAAAGGTGCGGCCGTCCTGCGGCGGGCGGGCGAGGGGAGGGGGCGCGGCACTAGGGGGAGCACGCTGCTGTGGAGGCGGGGGCTGGCGAGCGTGGGCAGGCATAGAGGAGGGTGGCGCTCGCGGGAGGCCAGGGTGGGGGTGCACACCACATCACTTACAGCGCCCCACAGGCAGCACCACAACCCGCACCCAGCCTTGGAGCTCCCATGACTCTAGTGGCCAGCGCCGCCCTGCCCCCACCAAACACAGCCGTGCAAACGCCTCGCGCCACCCCGCCCGCCCGCCAGCAACTCGACAGCCCTCTCCCTACCCACACCCACACCCGCCCCGCGCCGCCGCACCTTGGAGCCGCCCATGACCTTGGTGGCCAGCAAAACCTTGTCGCGGCAGCCCCGCGCCGCCATCCACCGCCCGACGATCTCCTCGGTGCGGCCGCACGTCTCGGGGGACGGCGGCACCGGGTACAGCTCCGCTGCGGGGGGTGGAAGGCGGGCAGCAGCAGGTTACTACCACAGGAGTGGTTTTTTAAAGGAAAGTAAAAGAAAGAATAGGGCAGGGAGGCAGGTGGTGAGCAGCTGGGTGCAGCGAGTGCGGTTGTGGCTGAGGGAGAGGCAACGGGCAGCTACACCAGGGGGCTGCTAGCACTACACCCCTCCCTCCTCCCGCAGCACCCACCGGTGTCAATAAAGTTGACCCCCTGCCCGACGGCATAGTCCAGCTGCTCCCACGCCTCCTCCTCGCTGTTCTGCTCCCCAAACGTCATCGTGCCCTGCAGGGAAGGTACGCATGTGTGGTAACAATCGGGCACCGAGAGCGAGGTGGCACAGCGGCAACAGCGGGGCGGCGGCGGCGGCGGCGGCACTAGGTGCACGTGCCCCATGGTGTGTGCTGGACGATGGGAATGCCCTGGTAAGCAGAAGCTTGCAGCCAGGGAGGCCGGCGCGGCTGGCGGCCTCGGCAAAGGGGCGTGCAAGGCGGCGGGGTGGCGCACTGGCGGGAGCGGCGGCAGGCGGGGGTGGGTGCTGCTAGGGCAGCGGCGTGGGGTGGACGGCCGCAGCCATCGCGTTTGGGCCACGCACCAGGCACACGACTGAGACCCGCAGGTCCTTGCTGCTGCCCAAGGTGACGTACTTCATGCCTGCGACCTCGTCGTTAGACGACTGGCGTAAATTGAAGGAGTTGGGATCGATGGGATGCGGCTGGCAGGCAGTGTTGTGGCGGGGATGACGAGCGGGGGCAGCTCTGCTGCGCCTGCTGCGGAGCGCGCAAGGGGCCCACACCCACACTGCCAGGGCTCCCCTGCTCCTGACCAGCCCATGCTGCTACCTATTGGTGCTATGCTTTGGGTTACACATAAGGCATGGGACGCGCTGCTCTTGGAACAGGTGTGGCGAATGCAGGTCTCTACAGGCAGACGGTTGCAGGCAGGCAGGCAGGCGCACTGCCCGCGACGGCGCACCACGGCTGGTGCTGCCGCCCTCTGGCGCCCCAGCCGGAGCTCAGTCGTCCATAGGGCTCCTGCCGCGCCCCACAGGGCTGCGGGAGCGCGTCAGGCTGCGCTCCCGAGGGGGGCTGCGCCCACGGGGCGGCGGGCTGTCGCTGACGCTGCGGCGCGGCGGCGGCGACACGCTGCGGCGGGGAGGAGGCGACACGCTGCGCTGGCGGCGGGGAGGAGGCGAGGGGCTGCGCCTGCGGCGGGGAGGAGGCGACACGCTGCGCTGGCGGCGGGGAGGAGGCGAGGGGCTGCGCCTGCGGCGCGGGGGAGGCGACACGCTGCGGCGGGGAGGCGGGCTGCGGCGGCGCGGGGGCGGGCTGGGGCTGCGCCGCGGCCGCCGATCCCTGCTGCGGCTGCGGCTGGCGCGGCGGCGCGGGGGCGGGCTGGGGCTGCGCTTGGGGCGCTCGTAGCTGGGGCTGCGCCGGCGGCGGGGAGGGCTGGCCGAGCGGCGGCGCGGGGAGGGGGAGCGGCCGCGGCCGCCGCCGCCGCCAAACCGCTCCTGCAGCACAGCCAGCCATGCGTGATGCGACAAACACATGAGAAGCTGGTATGCAGAGAGAGGCAGCACTCCAGGCAATTCAGGCAAGGGGGACCGCTTTCACCGCTCCCCCCCACCTGCCACCTGACGTGAGCAGCAGCAGTAAATCTACCGCAGCAGCAGGCCCCGCGCTGGCTGGCACAACTGCGGGGCTGGCGGAGCTGGCGAGCAGGGAGGGGAGCGCACCTGGAAGCCGCCGCCGCCGCCGCCGCCGCCGCCGCCGCCCTTGGGCCCGGCGGCGCGCGCAAACTCCACCCGCCACCCGTTCTTGCCGTCGGTGCCGCGCACCGCATCCTCCGCATCCCGCCTGTCCTCATATTCCACTGCGCGGCAGGGGCAGAGCAGGGCAGGGCAGCATGGTAAGGAGGGGCTGGTAGAGAGCTGACGTGGCCTTGAGCGGCTTTCGGGGCAGGCTGGGGCGCAGGGCAAGGGAGGGTTGGTGGGAAGGCTTGGAAGGTGTGCTGCTTGCCGGGAGGCTGAGCGCCCCGGCAGAGGGACCCAGGGCTGCATGGCTGGCCCTTGCCTCCTCGCACCAAAGGTGGGGGCGGTGTGAGCCGGCGGCGCGGGCAGGGGACGGCGCGGGCGATGGTGGGGCGAGGGCGGGAGGCGAGTGGCGGGGCGGCGGCGAGGTGGAGGAGGCGGGCAAGAGGATTGGCGGGCGGTGGCGAGGCGAGGTGAGGTGGCGGCGAGGAGGACGCTGAGGTGAGGCGAGATGCGGCGGCGGGGAGCTGGGGGGGGCGAGACGGTGGGTGGAGATGCGGCGGTGGTGTGGTGGAGGCGAGGGAGGCGCTTGGTGGCGAGGCGAGGCGGAGGGCGAGGGGTGCCGCCGTGTCATGGTGGCGGCGGCGGCGGCGGCGGCGCTGGGTCTGACGCCGGCGGCGCGCGGCGGGAGGGGGGGCAGGCGTCAGCGGCCGGCCTGGCTCTGGCCCCTGCTCCTCTGCCAACCGGAGCCTCGAGATGCAGCACCCCGCAACTCTGCAGCGGACCCAACAACGGCAGCCTGCGGCGGGGGCTCACCAAAGCCAAACCCCGGCGGCTTGCGCGCCACCCAGCAGGACCTCAGGCGCCCGAACTTGGCAAACACGTCCTCCACATCGCGGTCAGGGATGCCCGGAGGCTGCGGCAGCACACAGAGGCGCGCGGTGGGCATACGGCGGCTGAGACGGCGCCGTCGGCAGGCCACACGGCTGTGCAGCGCTGAGCCGCCCTGTCAGCTGCATGCTGGCAGTCACTCTGCGAGCTCACCAGGTTGCCAATCCACAGCTTGGCCATGGCAGGCGGAGTGAGGCGGCTCCTAGCGAACTCTGCAGGCGCATATGGTGGGCAGGTTGGCGGGAGGGCGGGCGCCTGGACGGCGGCCGTCCCGGCGGCGCACATCCAGCAGCATGCGATGCTAAATGCACGAGTGCAGGCGAGCCAAGACACCATCAGCGCCGGTGGCGCTCAGTGATAATGCCCGAGCGCGGCACCATCGAGGCCAGCACCGGGCCCGGATCAAGAACTGCAGACCGCTGAAGCTCGAACTGCAGCTGAAAGCGCACCTGGTCGCAAGGCTGGCGCACCTCGCCGACGGCTGCTTCCGTCTGCACCACTGGGCCAGTCGCTGCCAGATGCTTGGAGTGACCCCTGGGCAATCGTCATATGCGGGTCAGCAGCCTGGTCTCGCCTGGTGTGCACCGCAGGCACAAGGTACAAGTGTACAACCAGTAGTGGGCCCAAGCGCTCGAAGAAAACGCTTTGTGGAGCGTCCGAAATACTGCACACGCCTCTGAGGACCCTGCAAGCGGCCTCCTGCTCGAGACACAGCCATACATTTCTATTCGATTGCCCTGGTGCCCTGCTCCTACTGGCAGACATCATGCGTTTCGATTGAGATCGCTCCAGCCACCCAGCGCGCTTGAGGCCTGCCCCCTCCCAGCACTAGCCGGCCGCTCGCCCGACGCCGCTCGCCCGACGCAGCCGCCCGACGCCGTGGGGCGCCGGGCCCGAATGGCAGCACGAAGCACTGCCGCGGACCCGGCCTACTGGTGCTTCGTGCTGCTGGGGGCGGGCACGCTGTTCCCCTGGAATGCCGTCATCACAGCCGCCGACTACTGGGAGGCGCGGTACCCGGTGAGCTCCATCCCTAGCATCCCTCTCCTCTCCCTGCGCGCTTCCCAGCACTTCATCCGGCGAGGCAATGCCATCGGGCACGCCGCCTGCCCCATGGACCAACCTCCATGTGCGTTGCCGCTACCGCAGGGCAAGCACACCGACCGCCTGCTGACCGTCAGCTACCTTCCCGCCAACTTGGTCGTGATAGCCGCCATGGTGCACTACCATGCACACATGCGGCCGCGGCTGCGCATCATGGGAGGCCTGCTGGGATTCACGCTGGCGGTATCTGCGGTCCCGCTGGTGAGCAGGACCGCACAGTATACTGCCTGTACCAGCGCTCGCACGCGTTCGCTGACTCACCGCCATTTGGCGCTGCCTTCCTTGCGGGCGTCAGTGCGCTGAGCGTGCTGCTGTGCGCGGTCCCTTGCGTGCCTCCCCTCCGCCTGCCGAGCTCAGATCGACCTGGCCCCTGGATCCACCGCCACGCTGACAGCCACCCTGCTGCTGGTGGCGCTGTGTGGGGTGTGCGACGGGCTGGCCCAGGGCGCGCTGTTTGGGCAGGTGGCACTGCTGCCGCCGCGCTACACGCAAGCCCTAGTGGCGGGCACAGCCGCCTCAGGTGGGCCGCGCCATGCTGCCTGGCGGCTGCAGTACTTTGAACCAGCTGCCAGCCTATCGCGCCGGTGTGCTGCCCAGCCGGGCAGCCGCCCACCTCCTCTTAACTGCTGCCACCTTAAACGCTTGCGCCGCCCACCCACTCCCTCCCTGCTCCCGCCGCTTTCTGCAGGGGTGGTGGTGTCCCTGCTGCGTGTGGCCACCAAAGCCACGCTCCCCGACACGGAGCAGGGGCTGCAGCGCAGCGCCAACCTGTACTTCTGTATTGCCGCCATGGTGTGCGCCGCGTGTACCGCAGTCTATGCCTACGTGCTGCCCCGCCTGCCCTCGCTGCGGCAGTACCGGCACGCGGCCCTGGAGGAAGCGCTGCAGGAGGAGGCGGTCATCCTGAGCGGCGGCGCCGCTGGTGGCGGCAGCGGTACCGGCGCGGAGGCCGCCGCCTGGAAGCTGGCTGCCGCCGAGGGGGACCCAGCGGCGGTGGCGCTGGCGGCGGGCAGGCCCGTGCGACGCCGCCCCAGCCTGGATCTGGAGCTTTCGTATGAGGATGGCATGCCGCCCTACTTGCAAGGGGGGGCAGGTGGGGAGGGCGAGGCGCTGCGGCCAGAGGAGCAGCAGTCCCCAGGCCGGGCACTGCTGCAGGGCCGGCACGGCGCCTCCAGCAGCAGCGGCAGCCTGGCCGGCGGCGGCGGGCCGCTGCACGCAGCGCGCCAGCTGGCGGCCCCTGCGGGCGGCGGGGGCGCGGGCGGTACGCCCTCCAGCTGGGCTGTACTGCCGCTGGTGTGGCAGCTGGCGGCGTCCACCATGCTCATCTATGTGTGAGTGGGTGTGTGTGAGTGCGTAGTGCGCTGTGTGTGTGTGTGTGTGTTTGTGACTATCTATCCCTGTGTTCCAACATGGCTGGCGGCGCTGCCCTTGCTACCCCCAGCTCCAGCTCCGACTAGCTTAGTCATGCCGCGCAGCCGCCACGCCACGCCTGCCTGCTCGCCGGCCGCGTGCAAGCGACCCCCGCTCACGTGCTCGCCGCCCCTGCGCCCCTGCGCGCTGCCACAGCGTGACGCTGTCCATCTTTCCGGGTGTGCTGGCAGAGGATGTGCACTCTGCTGAGCTGGGCAGCTGGTACCCTGTGTGGCTCATCACAGCCTTCAACATTGCTGACATGGCGGGCAAGGCAGCGACGGGAGCGGACTCGCTGCGGCTGCGGTGCGGTGCGGGGGGTGCTGGGCCTGGGGCTGGGGGAGGTCTGCTGTTCGGCCGGGCCTGGCAGGGCCATCGGCGCTGGCGGCCGCTGCGTCAGGCTGCGCCCGCGGCCGCGGAAACATCCTCCCCGCCTGCCGCACCCATTCCCGCTTGCCTGCCCGCTGCGCTCCATGCGCGCCCTCTCAACCGCCGCCCGATGCCGCGCGCCGATGCCGCCTGCCTGCCCGCTGCAGGCGCAAGGGCGCCATCCTGGGCGCCGTGCTGGCGCGGGTCCTCTTCATCCCCGCTTTCCACCTGGCGGCCGTGACGCACAGCTCCACAGCGCTGGCGCCGCTCATCATCGGCGCACTCACATGCCTGCTGGGCGCCACCAACGGCTACCTCACAGCCTGTGCCATGATCGAGGGGCCCGCGGGAGTGGCGGCCAGCCAGAGGGAGCAGGCCGGCAACCTGATGGTGCTGGCGCTCATCCTGGGCCTCTGCATCGGCGCGGCGTGCGGCTTCCTGTGGCTGCTGTAGCTGCGGCAATGAGCTTGCTGTGCCGTGTCTCTGCGGCGGCGGAGCGCGGCAGCGGTTCCGGCTCCCGCCTCTGCGGCAGAGGCGGCGGGCCCCTGAGCCTTGTGCGATGGGCCATCCTGCTTCGATTGGGCCATCTGAACTGCTCCTACATTGACAGGCCCCCTGCAACTCACGAGGGAGGGCGGAGGACGAGTGGTGCTGCTCCTGGCTGAGAGGAAGGGAGTTGGGATGGGCGCCCGCCCGCCGAACGGAGCGGGAACATTGGCGCTTGTTCTAAGGGATCCAGCATCTGTCGTTTGCACCAGTTAGCTGCGTCTCGAGTGAGGTTGCCGACCGTCCTCTTCGCCATTTTCACCCTGTGAGGCCCGCTGCAGGCGCAGTGGCACGGGGGGTCAGCAGCCGGGGCTGCCAAGAGGCTGCCGCAGGTGCGTAGGAGCCCCAAGCCGCTGCATCGCTGCCGGCGGCAGGGTGCCGCCGCCGCGACTGCAGCTCCTGCTGTCTCCACCTATTCCGCGCCCCTGCGTGATTCTGTCTGGCCCGCAAGGGCTTCGGGCGCAGTCAGGCCGCCGCGTGGTCGCGCGCAGGCTGCCCCTGGCCCCAAACAGCCGCCTGCGCCGTCGCGCACCGCCGCCCTGACACCCCCACGCACCTCCTCCTATGCAGTCGTGGGCGTAGTGCAGTCAGCGGGAGCCGGGAGGGAGAGCTCAGCCGTTGGGGAGAGGCAGGGGGAGGCTGCAGGAGGGCGAGATGGCGACTGTGGTGCGCGCCGCCGCCCCTTTCTGCTGCATCATGGCCACCCACCTGCCCCGCTTGCAGCCCACCGCCCTGGGGCGCCGCCCGCGCGCCCTGGGGCGCGCAACAACGCGCAGCCGACCGGGCCGGTGCCGCCGCGCTGCGGCCGACGCCGCCGCGTCGGCGAACACCCACCCCAGCGCCCCCGCCGCCCGCCCCCCTCGCCCTGCCCCCTCCCCTGCAGCAATCCATCGAGCATGAGCAGCTGTCCAAGCTGCGGGAGTACATCGAGAGTCTGGGGGGGCGGCTGGATGGGGCGTGGAAGTGCCGGGCTAACATTCGTGACTTTGGGTCCAGGGCTGGCTCTATGGATACATGGTTCACAGCCCCACACGGAGAGACCTTCCGCTCCAAAGTGGCGGTGAGCGAGCGGGGCAGGCGCGGCTGGGTGGCTGAATGGCCGGTGCCCAGGAGCGGCACGGGGCACGCGGGGCGCGGGGCGGCGATTGGGGAGGCGCCGGGCGCGGCGAGGCCGGCGCGCCGCCGAGGGCGTTGCGCGCTCCTGCCTCCTCGCTGCCTGCCCCTGCCGATGCCCCTCTCGCACTCCCTCCACGCGCTTGTCACGTGCCCCTCCCTGCGCCGCCGGCCGCGCCTCCCCTCTCCGCAGGTGGCTCGCGGGATGGGGCTGGACCCAGGGGCGGCGCCCAAGCCCCGCGCCGCGCGGCGGCCGCTCGACCCCGACCGCCCGCGCCCGCCCAAGCAGCCGCGGCCGCCCAAAGACCCCTCGGCCGCAGGTGGGGCGACAGGCACCGATTTGTTTAGGGTTCCGGGCGGCCCTGGTGGGCTCTGGGAGGGAGGGCCCCGGGGCAGACTCTGCCCAGCAAGCCGCAGCAGAGCACGCGGCACCCGCGGGCCCTGGGTGTGCACGTGCCGCACCCAGCTGCCCGGCCTCCCTTGCCAGCCTCCCCTTGCCTCCCCTTGCCGCTGCTCCCCGCGCCCTCCCTGCTCCCGCCGCCCCACCACGCCGCCCCTCGGCGCCGCCGGCTCCAACCCAGCTTCCTGCCGGCTGCCCTCTGTGCCGCTGCAGGCGACAAGCCTGCGCGAGAGCCCAAGGCGCCGCCCGCGCCCAAGATCAAGCGGCCACGCGGCTGGAACACTTGGACCCCCTCGGAGAAGTGGCAGGACGACCCGGTGCTGGATGCAGGTGAGGGGGGGAGGTGGTGGTGGTGCTGTGCTGTGCTGTGCTGTGCTGTGCTGTGCTGTGCTGTGCTGTGCTGTGCTGTGCTGTATTGTGCTGTGCTGTGTGTGGTGTGGTTGTGGTTGTTGTTGTTGTTGTGGTGGTGGTGGTGGTGTGCTGGTGCTGGTGGTGGTGCGGGCAGGACGGCCGGATGTGGGGTGCGGGCGAGAGGGGGAGGTGGCCTGTGTGTGAGGGAGAGGGGGAGGCAGGGCATGGTGGGGATGCTGTGTGTGCGCGTGTGTGTAGCTGTGTATGTGTGGGTAGCTTTGTGTGCGTGCCTAGGGCCACAGCGCCGCGTCCGTCGTTGCCACGCCCTGCCCGCCCTGCTCCCCCGCCCCATCCCCTGCAGACCCGGGTGGTCCCTGGGTGATGGGCGACGTGGCAGAGCTGCTGCTGGCCATGCCCGCGGCAGACGGCGGCGACGACACGTGAGGCCGAATGGGCCGGGGGGCCCGCCTGTGTGCAGCGCGCTGCCGCCGCCTGCCCACCTGCCTTCACACCTCACCGCCAAGCTCAACACACACGCCCGCTCTCTGTTCTCACTGCCCGCTCTCTGTTCTCACTGCCCGCTCTCTGTTCTCACTGCCCGCTCCCTGGCTCTCCCTGCCTGCAGCTACGACGGCTGGCTGTGCCTGATGAGCCGCAACGTGCGCGACCCAGCGGTCCTTATGGCCATGCACATGATGGCCACCCAGCACCCGCAGTGGCTCAGGTGGGCGGCTGGGAGGGCGCTGCGAGCCTAGGATAGGATGTGCTGGCGCACACACTCTATTACGAGCCTGTGAATCCCATGCATGCGTGTGGGTGGCCCCTCGACATCAAGGAACGCACTCGATGCTTTCCTCCCAGCTGGATGGGTGATGTGTCCTTGATGACAAGCGGCAAGGGCAGTACCGCATCCCGCCGTGCTTGCTGCATTGACCCACCCCCACCCCGCCCCGTCCCTGCCCCCACCCCCGCAGCCACTACAACAACCACGCCGCCGAGGCCTACCTGGCAGCGGCTGAGCGGGAGCTTGTCGAGCGGCGGCAGCGGGAGCTGGAGGAGGCCGAGGCGGCGGTGGCGGCGGCGGTGGAGGAGGGCCTGCTGCTGCCGCCGGTGCCCTGCAAGGCCTGCGAGGGCGGCGCCTGCGGCCTGCAGCAGGACGCCGTGGCTCTAGACCTCGGCTTGGACCCGCCTGGAGCAAAGCCCGCCGCCGGTGATGGTGGTGGTGGTGGTGGTGGTGGTGCCGACGGCGGCAGCGTGGGCGATGGCAAGGCTGCTGCTCCACCCGCCGCACCAGCTTCGGCAACAGCCTCAGCGCCCGCAGCAGCAGCAACGGCGGCGGCAGGCGACGGCGTGCACGTCTCGCTGCGGCCCGAGAAGCGCCGCGCGCCGCTGTGCGCGGCCTGCACCGCCGCGCTCATGTCGGCGGCGGCGGCGGCCAAGGCGGCGGCCGATGCGGCGGCGGCAGATGCCGAAGAGGAGGAAGACACGAGTGACGAGGACTTTGTGCATGCCTCTGTCAAGGCCGGCTCTAAAGTGCCCCGCCCGCCCTCTGCCACGGCGGGCGACGGCGGCGGCAGCGGCGAGGAGGAGGAGGGCGGCGGCGGCGACGGCGGCGGCGGCAGGGGCAGGGGCAGGGGCCGCGGACGCGGGCGCGGGCGCGGCGGGCGCGGCGGGCGCGGCGGCAGGGGCGGCGGCAGGGGGAAGAAGGGAGGCAAGGAGGGAGGCAAAGAGACCGGCGGCGGTGAGGCGGACGGCGCGCATGGCGAGGGCGAGGGGCAGGGCAAGGCGGGCGATGGAGAAGAGGAGGAAGTGAAAGAGCCCTGCAGCCCCACGGGTGTGCTGCCGCCGCCGCTGCCTGCCGTGCCTGCGTTGCACAGCCTCTGTCCTGCCTGTGCCCTGCCTGCACTTGCCAGCTGAACCCCAGATGTCCCATGAATGCCCTGCAAGCCTGCCCTGCCCTACGCCCTGCCCCTGGCATGCCCTGCTCGTGTGGCGCGGCCACCTGGCGGCTGCCCGGCCGCCTCTGCTCCACCCTGCTCTGCTCCCAACGCACACTGAACCACCTTGCCTGTGCCCTCCTTTCAGGCCTGACCGACGCCAATGCCAACATGCTCCTTTCCATCCTGGGCAAGCCCCGGCCTCGCCCGCGCCCGCCCCCCAAGCACCGCGCGCCCCCCACGGCCGCCAGCCAGCCTGCCGGCGGCGGCGCGGAGGAGGCCGGCGGCGGCGCGCAGGCTGCGGCGGCGGAGGGGCAGGGCTCGGGGTCGGGCCAGGCATCGGAGGATGAGCGCTCAGGCTCTGAATTGGAAGAACAAGAAGAGGAGGAGGAGGAGGAGGAGGAGGAGGGGCAGGATGAGTCGGATGAGGATTACGAGATGGAAAGGAAGCGGCCGAGGAAGAAAGAGCAGTCTCAGGCGCCCTCGGCTGCTGCGGCGCCGCAGCAGGGCGAGCAGGCGGGCGAGCAGCCGTCCGCAGCGCCGCCGGCAGCCCCCAGCCAGCCCAAGCTTAGCGAGCGCCCGGGGTTTGTGCACACCGGCGGCCCGCCCGCGGCCGTGGTGGCGGCGTTTGGCGTGACGCCGCCGGCGGCCGCCGCAGCTGCCCGGCCGGCCTCTGTGGCCTCCGGAGACGCGCCTGGCATTGGGAGCGAGGGCCTTGGCGCCACGCCCGGCAGCGGCGCGGTGCCCGCGGCGCCTGGCAGCGGCTCGAAGCAAGTCAAGCCAACCACCGGGGTAGGTGGCAGCCGGGGGCTACCTGCCTGCCTGCCTGCCTGTCTGCCTGCCTCGGTATCGGGACGCGATGGTTTCTATGCTGCGGCGCGCACTTGGCCTGCCCTATTGACCTTCCAACATGCGACCTGTCACCTGCCATGCCTCATCCTTTCCACCTGCAGTCGCTGCGAGGCAAGACTGTAGAGGAGGTGGAGCAGGCGCTGATGGACCGCCTGGTGAAGTACATCAGGTGCGGTACTGCCAGCAGTACCATGTGCAGTACAGTCAGCAGGGGTACTGTGGAGCGGTGCAAGGCTGGCGGGGCGCCTGCCTGTGCCCTCGCTGGTGCGCCGCCCCACCCTCTGCTCCAGCTGGCGCCCGTGCCCCCCCTGCCGCCTGCTGCTGCAGCGACATGGGGCACGCGCTGCCCTTTGGATGGTCAGTCAAGGCCGCCATCCGCCAGAACGGCGCCTCTGCAGGTGGGCTGGAGGGTGGAGCCTGCATGCTGGGTGTGACGGCGGGGCTCCCTTTCACAACAGTTGTTTGATCCACACTTCAAATGCCTGCCCCTCTGCCGGTGCTGCTGCCCGCGCCTCCCTCTTCTCGCCACCCATGAGCGTGCACCCCCTGCACCACACACGTCCACCAGCAGCCTGCTGCCTCCCCTGCACCCCACGCCGCCCACCACCCCAACCACAACCGCCGCCGCCGCACGCCCCTGCAGGCGGCATCGACGCGTATTACTACAGCCCAGGAGGAAAGCGCTTCAAGTCGATGGTCAAGGTGGCGGAAGCGTTGGGCTTTGCCACGGCGGCAGCGCCCAACCCCAAGTCTGCCGGGCGCAGCGGCGTCAGTGGAGGAAAGCGCGGCGGCGGAGGAGGAGGGGCCTCCCTCATCCCGGGCGTACCGGCGGAAATTGCGGCCATGTTTGCGGCGACGATGGCGGCGGCCGCGGCCGGCGGCGGCGGCCTGCCGCCGCTGCCGCTGCCGCTGCTGCCGCTGCCGCCGCTGCCGCCGCTGCCGCTGCCGCCGCTGCGGCTGCCGCGGGCCTCGGCCGCGGGCCTCGGCACGCCGGGCAGCCCGCTGGCTGGCGGCGAGGAGGGGGAGGGCGGCCCCGGCGACGGCACGCCCGGCTCCGGGCAGCAGCTGGGAGAGGAGGGCGAGGGCGGCGGCAGCGGGGAGGGGCGGCGGCCGCGCCGCCACAAGCCGGCCCGCAGGAGGCTGCCGGGAGAGGAGGACTCCGGAGACGACGATTACTTCCCTTCCAAGGCGGCAGCAGCCCGTGAAGCCCGCCACAATCGCTCCGGCGGGCCCTCCGCCGCAGCCTATGCCGCAGCCTATGCTGCGGCGATCGCCGCCGCGCAGCAGCAGCAGCAGCAGCAGCAGCAGGGGGGCGAGGGCGGCGGCGGCGGCGAGGCCGCTGCCGGCGAGGCACTGCCGGGCAGCCTGCCGCTGCTGCCCGGCCTGCAGCTGCCGGAGCTGCAGCTTCCCGCCGGCTTCCAGCTGCAGCTGCCACCGCTCTCCTTCCCGCCCATGCCGCTCCCAGAGGGCACCGCAGCACGAGCACCAGCAGGTGGCGGCGGCGATGCCGCCGCTCCCGACTCCGCACCCACTGCGGCAGCAACGGCAGCCGCTGCTGCGGCTGCCGCGGCGATGAGCGGCCTGGAGAGCTTCGGCCTCAGCCCAGAGGCCGCTGCCGCTGCGGCTGCGGCGGCGGCGGCCTGGCTGAGCGGCGGCACGCCGCCGGGGCAGCGCAAGAAGTGTGGCAAGTGCCGCACGTGTCAGAACCCTGGCCTGAAGAAAGGATGCCTGGCCATAAAGCAGCAGGTGGGGATGGGCTGCTCCGGTCTGGGAAGGGTCTGCCGCCGCCGCCTCGGGCAACCCTCAATGCTGCTCTCTGTGGCGCCACACACACACCCTGCAACCCCCCATGTTCTCGCCGACCAGCCCGCCCGCCACCCAGCCAGCCACCCAGCCGTTTGCCTTCCCCTCCCGCCCCCGACCGCCCCTGCCCCTCCCTGTGTCGCAGAAGCACGAGGAGGAGCAGCGGCTGGCGGAGCTGCAGCGCCAGCTGCGCGAGCTGGAGCAGGCGGAGCAGCGGCTGACGAGCGAAGCGCAGGAGCTGGGGATCGGGGCGGCAGAGGTGGGGTGTGTGTGTGTTGTGTTGTGTTGTGTTGTGTCGTGTTGTGTTGTGTTGTGTGTGGGGGTGTGGGTGCCTGTGTGTGTGTGGAGGCTGGGCTTGCTTTGCCATAACGGTGGTGGTCATCGGGGCGGCAGAGGTGTGGCTGCAAGGTGGCACCAAGCGGGCCTGAACTGGCCTGAGCTTAGCCCTGCCTGACCCTCCCGCCCGGCTGCCACCCCCCCACCCATGCCTCCAGGTCGCCGCGGCGCAGCCCCTGCCGCTGCCCCCCTTGCGGGGCAGCGAGGGGGAGGAGGGAGGGGCTTCCGAGGGGGCTGGCTACGAGTACGATGGGCAGTACAGCGATGAGCGGGAGTCCGAGGGGGAGCAGGGTGGGGAGCGGGATGCGGTGGCGGTGGCGGCCGCCCTGGCAGGGGGCGGCGGGCCGCAGCCGGGGCAGGCGCCCGTGGTCCCGCTGCAGCCTGTGGCCCCACACATGCGGGACCAACAGGACCAGCAGCGGGACCAGCAGCGGGACCAGCAGCAGGAGCAGCGGCAGGGGCAGGTGGGGGCAGTCGGCGTGCCGCCCGCGCCCGCTGGCGCCAGCTCCGCGGCGGCGCCGCCGCCGCCGACGGATGTGGATGGCCGCCAGGCGCCCCCAGCTGCCGCTGCCGAGGCGGCGGCTGCACCAGCAACCCTTGCAGGCAGGCCCCAGCTTCTGCCCCAGCAGCAGCCACAGGCAGCAGCTTCAGCGGCAGCAGCACCTGCCGCCGCCCCCAACGCTCCGCCGCCTGCCGTCCCAGCAGAGGCGGCGGCCGCCGCTGCCATGCAGCAGTCGCAGCAGCCGCCACCGCCACCGCAGCAGCAAGCGCAGGAGGAGCAGGCCGGCCGCAAGCGGCCGCGGGAGGATGGAGAGGAGGAGGGCGGCGGCGGCGGCAAGCGCTTGCAGCAGGAGGCGGCCCCTGCCCCTGCAGCTGCCGCACCACTGCCGCCGCCATCAGCAGAGGCTGCCCCAGCTGTGCCAGTGGCAGCGGGCACGGCTGCTGCAGCTGCGCCGCCGGTAGCAGCCGCAGCGGCGGCAGGCCCAGCCCAGCCCGCCCGCCGGCCACCCGCCCTGGCCGCCTCTGCCGCCGCCGTTGCCGGCGGCAGCGGCGGCGGCAACAAAGGGCAGAGGCAGGGTGAGGAGGAGGAGTGCAAGGGTGTGGGCAGGGGCGCCAGCGGGAAGCCGCCGGCAGACATCCCTGTGCCTGAGCGGGGGCCTGGCAGCGGCAGGGATGAGGAGGAGGAGGACGGCTCTGGCGCGCCGGGAGCCTCCTCCACTCACCCGCCGCGGCAGGGCAGCAGCCAGGGCGGCCAGCAGCAGCAGAAGCAGCAGCAGCAGCAGCAGAGCGGCGGCGCCGGCGGCGGCAGCAAAGGAGGCAGCGCCGGCGGCGGCGGCGGGGCCGGCGCCGGCAAGCATGCGTCTGGGGCCGGCGGCGGCGCCAGCAGCGGCGGCGGCGGCGGCGACAAGCGCGGCGGCGGCGCAGGCAGGGGCGGCGGCGGCGGGGAGGGCGGCAGAGGCGGCGGCAGGGGCGGCGGCAGGAAGCGTGGGCGGGCGGAGCCGACGCCGCCGGGGCGCAAGCGCCCCCGCAAGCCCAACAAAGGTGCGCGCTGGCTACCTAAACTCCTATTTCAGCCCCATTCAAAACACGGGGGAAACATAAATCAAAGGCTGGCTGGTTGGTCCAGTGCTTGCCGCAGGCGCCGCCCCGCAGCCTGCAATCTGCCCCCCTTGCCTCCCTCCTGCGTCTCGTCCCTCCACCCGCACGCTCACCCGCCGTGCCTGCTGCCCTCCCCGCCCACCCCCTCCCCCAACGCAGGCGGCAAGCCGCCCCTGGCGCCGCAGGCCCCGCCGCAGCCCCCGCCGCCACCCAGCCCGGAGGAGGTTCAGAAGGCGGTTGCCGAGGCCAAGGCAAAGCGCAAGGCGGACGCGGAGAAGCGGCGGCGGCGGCGGGAGGCTAACCTGGAGAGCCGGTGGGTGCCGCCCGCAGCACGCATCGGGCTGTGCGGCTGCGTGGCAGTGCGGCTGTGTGGCAGTGTGGCTGTGTGGCAGTGTGGCAGTGCTGCTGTGGCTGCAGCTGCGGCTGCGGCTGGGCGCGGCCGGCCGGCTGCACCCACCCAGCACACACATACACACAATACAGACACGCCTGGCCCCCTCCCGCCTGCCCCCCCGCAGCAACAACTACGACCGCATGCTGGCCCGCCTGCGCAGCCAGCTGTCGCGCCTCAGGCACGCGCGGCCCGCGCCCGCCCGCCCACCTGCCTGCCTGCCTGCCTGCCTGCCTCCTAGCGCCTAGCGCCGGTGCTCGTTCTCCCTGCCAACCAGCCACCCCTCTCACGCACCTGCCCTCCACACGCCTCACCATGCACGCGCCGCCGCCACGCCCGAGCGCACCACCCCTTTCCTCCCGCCGCACCACCCCCCTCCTTTCGCCACACCACCCTTTCCTCCCGCCACACCACCCCTCTCCCCCACACACACCACCAGAGCACACACACCAACACACTCCCACCACCCCTGCCCTCCCTCCCTCCCTGCCCGCAGGCACGAGCAGGCGCTGGTGGAGGCGTACGCCGCCGACGGCTGGCGGGGCGCGTCGCGGGAGAAGGTCAAGCCTGTGGCGGAGATCAAGCGTGCCAAGGACCAGGTGGGGGTGGGGTGGGGGTGAGGGTGCTGGTGGTGGCGGCGGTGCTGGTGGGGCTGCGCCTGCAGGGCTGGCTGGGCTGAGCGTTCGCCTGCCCAGCTTCTCCGCTGCCGCCAAGCTTGCCGGGAGCGGGCCCCCAGGTAGTGGGTGGTGTGGTAGCGTGGTAGTGGTGTGGCGTGTGTTTGGCTTGCTGTTGTGACGTGCGCGCTTCCCTGCCTGCCCGCCTTCGCTGCCCACTCGCCTGCCTCGGCGCCTGCCCCCTTGCTCGCTCGCAGATCTCCAAGTGCCGGGAGGCCATCCGGGAATGCGTGCGGTACTGCGACGAAGCGGGTG